TTGCCATAATAAACTGATAGGAAATCATCGGAACTTGCAATTTATCGGTTACCGCTTCCCGAAGGTATTCACAGCAAAACCACAATGAGTTATATCAACTGCACACATTTTCGCTTCAAAAGTCAATAGATTGTCGTTATCACAGCTGTGAATGCTTTTCGCTGGCTTTGTTGATATATTTTCTAATGCTCGCGTACTTTCAACACGCTAATAAATTTAAAAGGTTTTCTAATTTCATCATTCATTCAGTTGCATGGGATCTTTTACCACATCAACTACCTATATTTTGAACATTATTTTTACAATAGCTTATTGTGCCGATCCCTCCTTCATCATCGCTCCTCTCAACTGGCTTTGTCCAAGCCGTTTGCCGATGTCTCACGATGTTTCCCCATCTTGCCCCGTATACCAGATCTAGGGAAGTGTTCAACTTTTTTAGAAAAGTCTCTAGATCAACGATCTCGTCCGTTTGCTCCCGTTCTTGCAATTTACGATGTTGAACGGTCGTAGTGGGAACGCGGCTTTACCTGATTTCACGCATGCTTGCAGGCGGAAACAGCAATCTGTTTGGAGAGGTAGGACTGCTGTGATAACCAAGAACAAAAGGCAGCTAAGTTACGGGTGCCTCATTTGCTATGAATGACAGGAAGGAATTTTGGCAATTGCTTTTTGCCAAGTGCACTTCGCTTAAAGGTAGTGTGCCACCTTTGAAAGATTTCCCATTTTATTTTTCCTAGGATAAGAAGCTTCTGTTTTTACCTAATATCGCAAAAAAAATCAAAAATGGGCCTGGAATAGTGCCTTTTTCGCCTAAAAGTTTTTCGGTTTTTAGATATGTATAACAACTGTAGTGGGCTCACCTGCAAACAGGCGTCGGGCAACAATCGCGAATGCGGCGCACTTGTGACAATAAGCAAAGGTCATTATAGTGTTACGACCATACGACGTACGGGAATGAGTTATCAGCTGTCTAATCGTAGACAACACAATGTCGAGCCTTAAACTGTAAGCCCGTATTGGTATTGTTTCTTTTATTTGGCTGTCGAACACTATTTATGGTTTGAAATATGATTTTATGTAAAATAATTGATATGAAAAAGCCGTCTTATAAGTTATGACCCCATTTCACCACACGCAAGTGGCAGAAATGACAATGATCAGCTGACGCATTTTTCTTGGCCGAAGTCAGAGCGCGCGGCCCGACGCACCACGCGTATTTGGAAATTCCGACCTCGACGAGCATCAGAAGCCACCTAACAGGCGTGTTCGAAACCGCAGGAGATGATGATGAACGGGTTTATCGAAACTTGATTGGATGAGCATATCGGTAATAGCGATTTCAGTGTGTGCATTTATTGTTCATAGTGGTGTGAAATGTGGTTGGGGTACGACCGACAACCCGTCGGGGCGAATTTCGCACTGGGGTACTCAAAATTTGAAGCATTTAAGACGTTTCCACGAGTTTTGAAGGTATGGATAAGTTCTAAAAATCCGGTTCTCCTTATCTGGGCCATTAACTCCATACGGTCCAAGAAAGCTGGCACACTACCTTTAATGTAAACATGGTTAACCCTCGCATGTGTAGGGGGGGGGGGGTCGGATGGACCCCCCATGGTTTTTCGCGAATAGCTCGCGTAAAAAGCGGCCGATCGCGACGAAACTTTCAGTACCCTCGCATTTATCAATTTTACACCTACCCTGTAAATTTCATGACCCTGACCCGAATGACCTTTGACCTGTGACCTCTTTTCCGAGACCATGTTTGGCCGGAATCGCGATTCCGCGTATGTCGGCTCGCATTAGCCGCGCGTTTGCAGGCTTTTCGTGCTTTCAAACGTTTAAACATGTGCTTTGATGTTGTTCCCATGCATTAGGGTGGGTGTCAAGGTCACCTGAAGGTCAGGTCAGGTCATTGACCTTTGATGACCTCGGTTGACCTCGGTTCACTTTTTCGAGTTTTACATGTTTCTAGGCCAGTTTTTTGGAGCTGAATTCGAATATAGCAACCATTTGAACATTTACGAAGTAGTTTTGGTGACTTCGTAACATGTTACGAAGCTGTCAGAGGCGGTTGACACGTACTACGAATACCCGTCACGAAGCCTACAGGTTGACCTGACCTGACCTGACCTGACCTGGTCTAAATGCTTAAAGACATCATCTGTGATCAAAACTAACACGATATTCGTGATCAGCACCCCGAAAAACCCCTTAGCAGCCACACTTTACGACTTTCTAACAGGTCCCGATTTTCCCGACTTTGGGTCATTGACCTGACCTGGAAGGTCAACCAATGACCTAGGACCTTAAAATTGGGTATCATCGGCTTCCTCTCGTCACGGGCAACACGCTCGTTTTTTCCGCGAAGCTCTAGCTTGATCAGGGGCCAAACGGCAAGGGGGGAGTCCAACCGCCCCCCCCCCCCCCTCCTACACATTAGAAGCTGGCAAACGCCGCACACATGCGAGGGTTAAAATAAGGCACTTTAGGTGGACCACCTTCTTTCGTTGGGCCAACGACGTTGGCACTGTCCCGTGCATAGGCGGCGGAACGGGGGGAGGGGGCACCGGGGCACCGTGCCCCCTTTGGTTTTGGCATTTTAACATTAGCCCTATGGGCGTTGCATGGAAAGAATGGGACCAAAAGTTGGCAGTACCCCCCCTCTCTTAATGGGAGGTGTTCCGCCACCACTGGTCCCGTGTCCACTTATGTATAAGTGCACCTGGTATGTAAGTACCTACATACCTCAGTCCTTGCAAAGCAATAACATGAATAATTGTAAATAATCGTACCATGCTCATTGCTCAGGGAGACGGTGCCCCGATCGTGTGTTTAGTGCGGCAAAACGTATGAGAGAGAACCGTATTTATAATAATTATTGAGAGAGAAAACGTATTTATAGCACTATTGCTTCCTTGATTTTAAGAACATTCCAGGGGAACAGGCACCTTGAGGTCAAAATACTGGCGTAGGTTTGGTGAGCGCTGTCAACGATTATTCGATTTTTTTAGGCAGAAACATGATTTTCTGCGAGTTCTAAACACATATTTGTCATAATAACGGTAAAAGTTAACTGCTCTTTGCCACTTACATATGTAGAGCTCAGCTTCTCCGGTCAGCTAGCTAAATTCATTACCTTCTCACGAAGAGCAGTGCACTTAGGGCGCTTTCCCGGCAGGCGGTGGGCCTCCCGGTCACCTTCCGCGCGGTGTGTGTGTGTGTGTGGGGGGGCATTTTTTGACCCCCCTTATACCCGAAACTACTGGACAAAACCAAATTTCATTGACCTCGGGGTCACCGACGACGTCACAGGTCAGGTCAAAGATAAAAAGTTTCACCGTTCACGGGTCTTCTAGGGAATGCGCTATAACACCGAGTAAAACGCATTTTGTTGAAAATCAGTGATACGGCGTCAGTTGCCCAGTAGGTACATATGTTGCTATTAGAGGTCACTGATAATACCAGGTCAGGTCACAGGTCAGGCCAACAAGGGTCAGCAAATGCACCCAACTTTACTAAGGTTGTGCGATGCATGCTTTATGGCCAATTTTTTATTTCCATCTCAATGGTGTTGGTTAGGTATAAGACCATCAGGTACGGTTTAGGTCACTTTCTGGTGGAGGTCAGGTCAAGGTCAGGTCAAAAAGGTCAAAGGTCAAAGTTGATAGTTTTGCATAAAATGGATATTGATTCGATGCAGCTCGTCACGGGGAGTCTAATGGTGGTCTTGATTTTGCGCTACGAGGTCTAGAATTGCTAAAAATTGAGTTTGAAAATTTGACGTCATCAATTTTGAACAGTTTTTTTTTGCTATAACTTGGATAAAAATAGACGTATCGATCTCAAATTTGGTATATGGATAGAAGGCGGTAGGGACTATCATATGTATTCTGGTGTTTTCGTAATTCAAAAACTTTTTAGATTTTTCGGCTATTATACTAAAAAATAGGTATATTTTTATTTTTAGGGGTCAAAATCCTAAAATTTCAAAAAATCCGAGATAGCAATTTGGTAGCCCTGTTACTTCTACACCTTTTCTGTCCGAAACATTTTTCTGTATCTCTAGGCCTGACAGCTCTTCCCGCGAAACCTTTTTTTTGGTCGAAAATGGCAGAAATGACGTCAAAGTGCTCCGACTTCGTTAGCGGCCAACCTATCATACCCTTTGGAAATTATTTTGTCACAATGTGCAAAAGCTATTCACGGGAGGATACTGAAAGTTTGAAGACGATCAGCGCAGCGGTTCTGGAGATATATCGAAAAAAAACTTAAGGGGGAACTGCCCCCCCCCCCACCCCCACCACCTGGAAGGTTAACCTCCACCCGTATTCATGGCGATCACTTTTCCAGATAACTCCATCTCCAGACACCACTACATGGTCCTAACAGATTTGTTTGGACCATGCAGCCATACACCTGTGAAGCTCGAGTAGTTATTAGTTTTTTCCCAGCCGCTTCTGTATCTTGTTGAAATAAGAAATTTGTATTAACGCTGCATACCATATCTCAATTCAAAATACATCTGGAAACTATAAACTATAAACTAACTATATATGGAAACTATCATAGCTTTCTATGACATGTTAATATTTGATATGATATTCATAAATTATATAGCTTTCCCATTTGTTTTTGATCCCTATATCGAAAATAAATGATCATTGATCCCTAGGTCGGAACATACCTAAAGTTTCGAATAAATTAGCATGAACTGCTTGAAACGTTCTACTCGTAGTGGTAGTTAATCTCACATAGGATATGTAAAAATCAGGCGTTTTAGCTACATGTAGCTGTCGAGCACATCCGGTAGGTAGTTCCTAAATACTCCGCGGAGGAGGGGGGGGGGGGGTGAAAGGTGCGCCACCGCGCCGCCCCTGCCGTCGGCACCCTCGACTATTCGGCGGTCACTGGTGTGTGCCGGCGGGTAAAACCGCCGCCGGCGGCCGGCGCGGCTCAGTGCGCGGCGCCGCGTCGCCGCCGACAGTCGCCGCAGTACGGGACGGTACGGGACGGAGTACGGACGGTACGGTACGGACAGAGAGGAGCGCAGTGATGGCCCCCGCCACCGCCGCCGTCGCAGCTGCCCTGGTGACGGCACTGATCATCTCCAGACACGCCGTCAGGTGAGTGTCGTGCGACGTATGAACCTTCATGCAGGCAAAATAACTGCGTATTTCAGAATTTAGATATCGGTGACCTAAGGTCAGGTCAATTTTGTAACCTCTCCGATACAAGTCAATGGGGAAAAAATTGAAAGGCGCCTCTTTTGGACGAAAGTCATTTTAACTATTTTTAAACGCTAAGGTACAAACTGAATATGACACACTGAATCGCAAAATGGCACCCGTGACCTCTGGTTATGTTCCTGAGGTCATCACAGGTCACGAAAGGTATGCAAACCTTTTTCGCCAAAAGCTCTATAGCGATGAAAACGCCTTAGCTTTGTTCAGCTCGACGATACGCATCGACTGATATGCAGCACGACCTTTGCCTCAGGTCATGACATTGACCTGAGGTCAAATGCTCAATTTGATATGACAAGGCTAAAACGTAACTCATTCTACGCGTCTTGACGAGAGGAACACTAGGTATGCCGGTAAAAGTGAGCTCGTGCAAGGTTTGAGTCAAAAGTTACTGCAAAGGAACCGTTTCCACAAAAATGACCTATTTTGTCAGATTTTCCCACCTGGGCCTCGTTTCATAAAGCGAGTCTGTAACTTACGTCGGTTTTTGGTCTTGTATTGCAAGTGCATGTGAAGCGATGACGTTAGTTTGAATCGTTGAATTTATTTATCTTGCAAGCAAGAACAGAAGGGAGAAGGGGAAATAAATTTATCGCATTGCATGCACTTGCAATACAAGACTAAAAACCGGCATAAGTTACGGACTCGCTTTATGAAACGAGGCCCTGGAGGCAAACCCGTTGACCTTAGGTCAAATCTGAGAGAATAAGTCGGACAAAGCGTCAACAGGGCTATCAAATGCGCTTTTCCGGGGCACTAGTAAGGTGCCTAATTAGCGACCCCCTTAATTTGAACCGTCACTGCTCACGCTCTGTGGGTGCCACTGTATTACTGGCTTGATTTTCGGAGAGATCGTTCCTTTTTCTATTAAAATATAGTCATTTTCTGCCCCAATATTCACTAACTTATTTGTAGTGAGCATTTTGGCAAACCATTGCAAAAAACGCTAATAGGGAACTCTTCCCGATTAGCGACCGGGGAGGGTCGCTAATAAGTCTATGGGTTTCCCCATATTAAAAATGGCAAAAAATTCGACGCCTGAAAAGATGAAATATGATTTCAAAAATGTAACCTATACGCAAAGCACTCAATCACTCGAACAGGAACGTTTATCCAACACATTTACGTAAGTAAAAACTGATCACATGATGCACCGAAGGCGAAAAGAAGGCGGAAACCCAAATTTTGCGGGCTATCTCGTATGATATTCGAGGTCCGCGCTGAATTCGGCACCCCTGCAGTCGGTGACGACATTTGACATGCCCTGCCACACATTGCAATCTTCAGCAACACCTCATTTTCATTTCTCTCTTTTCCCCTTTCTTTCCCTTCTTGAGCTATTTGCGACCATGTCAGGCGCAAATAGGAAATATGAGTTGCGACACATTTTTAACCGCCATACTGTGCACAGTTAAACGATTCACTATGGGAAAACGGCAATCAATTGAAAAAGGAATGTCGATTCAGAATAAAAAAGGTGCATCATCCTAATGTGCATCGCTTTTCATCAGAGAGGGCCCAAACACACACGTTTTGGATAAGAAGCTCGTCAATTTTATTTAAAATCACCTGAAACGTCCCACCAAAAACATCGACAACCGTAAAACAATTTAATTTGATGACCAAAGTATGGCTGACCTTTTGACGATGTTTTTACCCCGTTTTCTGCTGCCAGTTCTTCTGTAGGGAGGTAGGTCGCAAATCGGAAAGGGTCGCTAATTAGGCACCTTACCCTATTGGTTTCTCAGTTATACGCCGGTTTGTTGAAAATTCTTACCATTTGGCATGGACATCGGATAAATTTGTCCTTTGGTGACCTCTGGTGACCTACTACGCATTTCAGACCCTCTGGAACAGTCCTTTTTGGCTCTTTCTCGTTACCTATATGCTTGATTTCAACCAAACTTTGACACATGAGTTTCAAGGGCCTGCCTAATTTTTACTTATATGGTCTTATAACAAAATGTCAAAATGAAAGGCACTTGTCATTGACTTGTAAAGGTAAAAATTGATCGGAAAACTCTGCGCCGTGGTAGAGGCTAGCACGGCGTAGCAGCGTCAGCTGTTGGGCCGCAGCTAAGCTCCGCCCACTGCGCCGCGACACCGAGACCGGTCATTCGCCGCTCGGGGTCAGGGCGGTGCGGAGCTCTGGCGGACTGGAACAAGACGCGCGCTAACGCAGGTATCCTTGCGTGAATATATATCGTATCTCGCGCGGAGAGAAAAGGATGAAGAATGCAATGCAATGCAGATCGATGTATGTATAAAACGATAAGCACCCCTTCAAACTACAGATTAAGCTCCAGAATGTTATTCCCTACAAAAAAAAATTGTCTTCAATAATTTATAGCGAGCTTCTCCGCTGTCCTGCATCCTACAGGCTCTGATGCATTTAAGGAGTAACGAGACAGAATCTGCTGGATTGTGTTTAGGTACTTATGTGACATTTAATGGCCTTATTTAATTGAGGATATCCACAAACGTACCGTACTTGCAAGTTGCATTTCGTTTTTATTTATTTTAACCCGCGCGGGGCTGGGGTCTCCAGCCGAACGCGCGGGGCTGGGGGGGTAAATTTTACCCCCCCCCCCCTGTTATCTCCCGAACTAATGGTCCGATTTGGAAAATTCAAACGCCAATCGAAAGCTCTCATCACGAACTACTAAAAACATGTACTTAATTTAAAGTTTGAGGTCAAGGTCAAGGTCAGGTCAAGGGTACAAATTGCAAGTTTCTACAGTATCGGCCTTGCACCGTAGTTGCCGAAGAATGGAGTCATGGACTGAGACTGATCGCCCAAAACGTGTTCTTAGGCTACCAAGACAATATTCGTTGCATACAATATCATTCAGAGGTCAAGGTCAAGGTCAGGTCAGGTCAGGTCAGGTCACCAAAAAACAAAATATAGAAAAGAGCATGTGCGACACATGTTTTATGGGTCATTTTACTCATAGAATTCAATAGGCACACTCAATAAGTGATATGGACCACCTCTGGATGAATTTCAGGTCGAGGTCAGGTCAAGGTCAGGTCAAGTGAGGTCAAATTTTGAAGTTGGTTGTTAAGGCCTAAAAAGGTGTCTATGTGATGCAGTTTTTCACGGCGAATCGAATGGTGCTATTTTTGTTTCCGTACGAGGTCTAGAACTTCCAAAAAAGTCATTTTTCAAAAAATTTGTGTGTCGTGACGTCATAAAATTTTGAATAACTCCCACATTTTTGAACCGATTCTTCTAAAACTTGGTATGTAGGTGCACATAGACCAGTTCTCTGACATATATTCCGTTTTTTTCGATAGACTTAAAATTTTGGATTTTATAATGATTTTCCCAAAAAAGTCAGTTTTTTGAAAAAAATTAGGCCAAAATACAAAATTGTCAAAAAACCGAGATAGCCATTTGATAGACAAAGTACAATTACGTATAACCTTTTTTGTTACGTCTTGATTCCTTTAAAAATGAAGATGTTAGCGGCGTTTGAACTTTTGCCGTTTTTGAGGCGAAAATGGCGAACATGACGTCACTAAAACATCAATTTCTCAAAAATTTTCCGACGGATTTCGCTCACATTTTCAGGGAACGTGTCAAATTGATGTAAGAAAAGGTACTGAAAGTTTGGCGGCGCTGCGCGCCGCCGTTTTTGAGATATCGCAAAAATTCGCGAGGGGGGGTAAAATTTACCCCCCCCCCAGCCCCGCGCGGGTTAAAGAATGAAATTTAATTATTTTTTGGGGTAAAAATATTCAATTTTTCCATAATATTTCCACAATACTTTAAGGACATTGTTGATAGATCTTAGGACCGAAAAACGATAAAACAGGCAAATATAGTATCTATGACTCAATCTGAAAATGTAGATATATGTAATATCGAGAGTTGATGATCTCCCATCCATCACTCCCCCTTGTCAGTCTATCGTCTATAATCTCTATCCCCGTCACTTGTCTCTGGTCTACCATCTTTATCTCTGTCTTTCGTCTACCGTCTTTGTCTCCTGTCTCTGCTCTAGCGTTTATGCTTATTGTTTGCTGTCCACTAGCCACCGTCTACCGTTAGTCTCTCTCATTGTCACTTTGTCACCTCTTCCTTTTTCTTTCTTCCTCCGTCTTTATTTGTCGTAGGACAACTTATTAAAAGTTCATGACGTGCAAACAAGTGCTGCACACCGCTGCGCTGCGCGCGCGGCCCGCACGCCGGCCGGCCAGACTGCGACTGCCGCCGACATGACCCGAGGCTGGACCGCAAGTGGGCGGAGCCAAGCCGCAGTGTGCTAGCGTCACGACCAATCAGAGGGGAGACAGCGCCCAGCCTGTGCCAGCCTCTAAGCAGGGTGCTGACGACTTTAACATTATCAGTCAATGACAAGTGCCTTTATTTTTCCTTTTTTGTTAATAGACCATATTGATAAAAATTAGGTAGGGATCTCAAACTGCCAATGCCAAAATTTGGTTAAAATCAGACGCATATACAACGAGAAATAGCCGAAAAGGACTGTTCCACAGGGTCTGAAACGCATAGTAGAGCCTGGAACGGTTAACAAAGATAACCAAGGGACCACCAATTTGCACAGACGTTTGTGACCCACTCAAAGAAACTAGATCGCTGAAATTTCCACCAAAAGACTTGCCATGAACTGAAGCTACTCATTCATTATCAAATTAACCCGCGACCGCCTGGGGGGGGGGGGTCGGATCCGACCCCCCCCCCCTCCGTTTTTCTTGAATAACTTTTTTTAAATTTAGTCCGAACCTTTTGATGGGAAGGATTCACAAGGACAGAGCCACCGCTAAGCGAAGCTTGTTGCGATGACCCTGCCCTCTACCCTCCGATCGCGCAATTCCGATTCTATGGCAGAATTTAGAGTCCAAAGTTTAACGTGCGCACAAAGCCGCGCACGGCCGGTCCCCTCGCTGACTTCGCCTGGCTACGGCCTGCCACCAACCGCAACCATACCTGTCAGGAGGCCCATAAATGTCTCATGAACCCCTTTCGTTATCTACTTGAAACTTGGCATACCTTCTCCCCCATCAATTTGACGTCTCCTGTGCAATTTTTAGGAAAAAATTTATATTTTTTTTTTTAGATATATCGATTTTAGTGATGTAACTACATGGCGTTTTTGGTCAAAAAGTGGTAAAAGTTTAAAAAATCGCCAAAAATCAGGGTTTGAAGCAAATTGCAAATTAAGGACATCAAAAGACGCAGCTCAACGAGTTCTTTAAAATGGCTATCTCGGATTTTCCATAAAATGCGTTTTTCACCCCTAAAAATTCAAAAAGCTATATTTTTTGGAAAACAGCTAATAAAATCCAAAATTTTGGGAATTTCCAAAAAACCGGAATATATGTTGTAGAGCTCTATTAGAACATTAGATGCCCCAAATTTCAACTTTCTATCTTGATTTTTGACCCCCAAATTGTAAAAAATAGCTCCAACATGCATAGGGCATGGTGACGTCATAAGCATTTTCGTGAATTAGAGGCACTTCTGAACATCGCATGTGAAAACAAATGGCACCACTAGATTCCTGGGACAAAGCTCGTCTAGAAAAGTGCATTTTTATGTCAAAAATAAAAAGTTGAAAAATTGACTTTTTTTCTTAGCCCTCGTTTAGTTATGTATAGTATTTACGATTTTTTATGCTTTCAATGCACATTTATCACCAGCACAGTGACTTGGGGTCACATATAACCATTACCATCGGATTCGGCGTGAAAAATAAGCCATAAAACATGTGTCGCACGCCCACGTAGCAGAAAGTGAAAACCGTGACCTTTCGTGACCTGACCTGACCTTGACCTGTACTTAGTATGACCCCTATACGCACATGGTACCTTCACTAGGCCTTTGAGGTCATTTTTGGTGAGTTTCGAGCAGCAGCTATCGATTCCGCTGTCCGTAAGCCGATTCATGCAAAACCCCTGAATTTGACCTTTGACCTGACCTTGACCCGAAAGTTGACCTCAATCTTAAAATCTTAAGAGTGCTTTGGGAAGGTCTCGTAGAGACCTTTCGAACGCCGCCTCGCGGGGCTCGATACGACCATTGGTTCTCGAGATAACAGGGGGGGTCGGATCCGACCCCCCCCCAGGCTGTCGTGGGTACGGAAATAGCCCAGGCGGTGCCGGGTTAACATCTAAAGGTCCCCTTATGACCTAAACATCATGTACGTACGGGTCAGGTCACAAAAACATTTGTGCAACAGCTTTTGAACCTACAAGTAGGAATAATTACGATCCAAGTTGCATTTGTTCAAAGCCCATAGACAGTTATAAACTTTCTCTAAAATCAGCAGGCCAATATGTGACCTTTTTTGACCTGGGTACTGGGTAGCATTAATTGTTAAAAATTCGAATCACTTTATTCCCTGACCTGGATTAGTGGCTGAAGTGAGTTGGTGGGAGTCGGATCAGACAATGGGAAATAGCTTCAAGTCGCGTTGATTCATTTGGTGGCATGTTTTGAGCTCTATAGCTCCACTGGTGAGCCACACTCTCCGGAGCAAATAAGGGTCGTGACTCTTGCTGAACTATCTCATCTCTACATAAACAAAATGGCCAAGGAAAGTCACAGACTGGTTTGGGCCACGTATTCTATGCGGAAGGGCCCTGCTATGTCGGCCGAATTTCGGTTGCATCTGGGGCCGTGCGTCGATTTATAGTGCGTCGATTAGGTAGGTACATCTTGCGCTGCCCAGGTCAAACGTATCTTGTTCAGAAGTGTTTTCATAAGTTATTTCGGTCTATGGGCTATCGAAAGATGTGCTTTGGATCGCAATCTTTTTTTTACTCGTTTATTAAAGACATGCTGTGCTAGTTTTGCCAACTGGTCCGGACCTTACTTGGGTCACGGGTTGACCTTAAGAGGTAAATGTGATGTTAGTTCAAACGACTTGGGGAACCACCGAATAGTTTAGGCCACGCATTTCCTAACACAAGGGCTCTGTGTGTGCGAGTTTCAAGTCGAACCGAGGTATCCCGAATCTGAAATAGTGGACTGAATGTGGGTTGAATCTGGACTGAATACATACATGGTGTGGTGACCAACATCGCTACTGTGGGAGATAGGTAGGTACACGTAAAAGCAGTTGCATGGTGATTGTATCAGCTCAGCGGGAAGGAGAATCTATATGATTGGGCGCATATTTTTGTGAACACTTCCTGAGAATTAAGATCTTGTCAAACTACAAAATGACAAAATGATGCACCATGATACACGATCATACAATTCCCTGTTTTAGCAAGGAAATCGGGTCAAAGTCAAAGGTCAGGCATAAAAGGCTCCACGGATTCAGACGCCCGTCTATCATCCCCGCCACGCTGGCCTTTGTTACCGAGCCCGCTGCTGTAGTGAGCTGACCTATATCGCCCCAGGCTGTCCGGCTATTCGATAAGTTCTGGACGTCTCGGGCGCGGCTCCAAGGCCGGACGGTGTTTTGAACGAGGGCCGGTGCCAGGTGCGCAGCAGGGTTCGGTGACGGCCGCTCGATACAGCAGACAATTCCGCGGCCCGGCCCGCACCTTAACGAGCCGCGCAGTGAAGACAATATACCGGCGGACGGCCGTGCAAGTGGCGACTATGGATCCCAGTGAACACATTTGCTAATGAGACGTACTGAACCCTGCAGGGAAAGCTGGCCATAAAACTGACGGCTGTTATTCGTAACAGAATGGAAGGCAGCACATGGCCAGTTTAGTTGATGGTAGAGGTAATGGTTAATTTTGAGAGCTGTTTGAAGGTATATACCGTATCAAGCTTCCCCAGGGCGGTGTTCCGATCACCACACATCGTGGCGTGCCCGTATGCGTGTGTGTGTGTGGAGGGGGGGGGGAGTTTTCACGCCCCTTCTGAGCTGCACTGAACAAACACGTCAAAAACGCAAGATAGTTTTAGAACCATAATATCTCTTCCCACAGGTATGCCATAAACAGGATGTAGCACAGCCAGTGTCACTCGAAATGTCATACTCGATCATGAAAGATCACCAGAAGTTTTTGACCAATCAGTTTGGATGGAAACATGGTAGAGCGATGAAGGCACCTGGAATGTGTATAACTAAAAATACGGATCTTGGTATGCAAGTGAAATGTTTAGGTCAGGTGATGACCTCGAACTTAGGTCAAATTATCAAGGTAAACTTTTCCAAGGTCAAATAAGACGCGTCTTGAGGAGACAAACGGTGGTGGGAAAATAAATGCAACATATTGATTGAGAATGAGTCAAAAGTTGTTGCAGGGCAAATATTGTTTCGGATTACATTACAGGTAGCGGTAGCGGTAGAGGGGTAGCGGGCCAAACAGTTGACCTGATGTCAATCTGTGCAAATATTAGCGAAAAGGTTTCGAAAAGGCTATCGATTGCGCTTTTCCGCTACGTTTTAGCTCTTTTGGTTCACGTTAAACGCTAAATTCACATGACAATTTGTCAAAAACGTGAAAACCTTACGCCATAGTTTTTTACCTTTGGTGACCTCAAGTGACCTAAGCGTTGGCCTGATAGCAAAATTATCGGTATATGATCTGTAATTATATGTGCTTTACCACCTTTACACTGCGTGCACACGAACAAAATGCAATGTTGACAGGCAAACGTTAGCAAGCGTTCGTGTTGAAAATAACAGTGGGTGGTGACTGTCGTGAGAGCAGTGTGTTGTTCACAATAGCCGGATGGGTCGGCTGTATTTATTACCTTGGCATCACGCGGCCCTGACCCGGAGCGGGGGTGTCGGGGTGGGGTGGGGTGAGGTCGGGGTGGGCACATGATGAGGCGCCAGATCGAGGGGCGATAGCAGCTGGCGTCAATGCATTTTATTCAGCCGGCACTAAATTGGATCAACGGGTGCACGCTAGTATAGGGTTGAGACAGGTAAAAATCGACTCGGTGGGTACGAAGTATAAAGGTTTGGAGAGACGCGAGTCACTTTAATTGCAGACCATACAAGGCGTGAGCCGTGTGAAGACCAGTGAGCTGCTCATTTTTTTGCAGTCAAATAGACTCGGTAAAACATTTTATTATGACATCATTGTCTACATGCCGTGACGTTTGCACTTCTGCCTCCTCTGATCCCGGTGACCCTCGCTGACCTGCGGCGGCCCACAGGGCGGCAGAGTTCTACTGCGACGAGCGGAGCCAGGCGTGCCACCCGGAGCCGTGCGACTCGTGCGGCGTGGACGTCATCTACCGGTCGGTCACCGAGTGTCAGCTCAGCTGCTCCCGCGCCGACGCAGGTCAGTGCCGCACCCAGAGACGGCCTGACCCGGGTCAGTAGCCTCGCACCGACCCGGTACAGTGGCCCGGGTCAGTAGCCTCGTACCGACCCGTTAGAGTGACCTGACCCGGGGCAGTAGCTGTTCTGTCTGGTCGTTCCGGGCCGACCGCTGGTTCTCTCTCTGACCTGCACACACCGAGTTATCTGAGCCAACTGTATTCTACAGCCCTATACATTTACATATATATATATATATGTAAACATATATATATATATATACATATATATATACATATATATATATATATATATATATATATATATATATATATATATATATATATATATATATATATATATATATATATATATATATATATATACATATATATATATATATATATATATATATATATATATATATATATATATATATATATATATATATATATATATATATATATATATATATATATATATATATATATATATATATATATATATTTATACAGGTTTCGTTGAAGACCAAGGAGCATTGAGTTTTTGCAAGTTTCCGGTTAGTTCGTTCGATTGTTCGAATGAGTTTCTTGGTTTCAGAAGGTAAGTTAAAAATTAATTCTCCAAAGTTGCTCATCAATGTCAAGTTACTTGGTTACAAGTGACGTTTCGGTTTATTCCAGTAAACCATTTTCAAACATAACACATTCACGTATGACAAGTGTAAACATTTTCATCGGACATCATTTGAGAAATATGTTAAATGCAAATTATCACGTGAGTTTTGGCAGGGTCTTGCTACGGTAGTTGCGTCCCACATAAAGTACACTTCACATTCATCGAATAAATCAGGTCGATCAAAAGAATGTTACATCAGGCGAATACAAGCTGTCACGACATGAGTGCATCTTCCTCACTACATGTAAACGTCTTTACAGCCCTAGTGTAACGCAAGAGTTATGTTGTTTGTTGAGCTGTGGAGCGCGTTGTCTGATGAGTAATGCCTCTAGTATCCAGAGCCGTGTTCTGTTGTGTTGTGTTTTGATGATGGTCGTGTTTTCAGTCAGAAGCTTTCTAGTGATAGTTGTCTGGTGTGCTTGCGTCATGTGTTGTTTTGGTGCCCCGTCTCTAAGGTGCATAGTGAGACGCCTTGACAGTGATGTGGTTGTAGCGCCAATGTAGTTTATTTCACGAAGCCTACAATCTTCGTATGGACATGAAAATTCGTAAACTACATTGGTGCGTTTGAGCTTGTCTTTGTTGTCTTGCATGTTGTTTCGAATGAGAAGGCTGCTTGTTTTGCAGTTTTTGTAAAAGATGATGAGTTTCAGTTGGTCAGTGGCATTTGTACAGGTTATGTTTTCCGAGACAATTTCTTTGATGACTTTTTCGTCTACTTTGTACGAGGGAGACATGTGGTTACGATAATAAAGCGTAATGCTATTTCTGGAACGCTCTTTTGGGGTCATCTTTTGGTTTGTCTCTCTATCAAGATGCTGCTTAATTTCTTCGTCTACTTCCCTATTGGAAAAGCCATTGTTGACCAAGATTTGTTTCAGCCTTTCAAATTCCACGTGTAATTTGGAAAGCAAACTCCATGGAAAGCTTCAGCAATGCCACATCGATGACTCAACAAGAAAACAAATAGAAAAGGAACTTGAAGCGAATTATCATAATGCTGAACATAGCAACAAGATAAAGATAGTAAAGAAACTATCATACCTTTACGAAGGGAAAATAAGCGTACCTGAATCAACAGATGGCTACATCAACTTATCATCGATCGAACTTACCGAAGAACAAAAACAGATTCTTAACCTTGGTGTGAACTGCCATTACCAAAGTAAATATGACCCCCTCGACAAGAAAGCCGAACTTGAAGTCTTGTATCAAGATGTGCTCAAGCTTCAAAAAGAAAACAAAATACAAGTCGACCAAAACTTCAAAGACCGCCTCGTCGGTGAAAGCTCTAAAGTACGTAGTCGCTGTAGAAGCAAACTCATCTCTAGATCGCTACACAAAGCGGCTAAGGAACTTCGGGAAGACGATAGAATTGTGATACAAAAAGCAGACAAATCGGCCATTTATGTCATCATGGACAAACATGAATACTTGGACAAGATGAACGAAATACTGGGCGACACTACGAAATTTGAAAAGATCTCGAAAGATACAACCGACACACTCAAAGCCAAAGTGAATCGAATCATCACAAGCGCAAACGCTGTCATTGGGGCTATCCATTTCACAAAGATAGTAGGTGAGTACGCTCCAGGATACGCATACGGGAAGGTCAAAACACACAAAGCAAACCAACCCCTTCGACCGATCATCTCTCAAGTACCGACCCCAACATACATGTTAGCGAAACGGCTTAACGATCTTCTTCAGCCATTCCTACCAGCCGGCTATAGTGTCAAGTCAACTGATGAATTCGTTGATATCTTACGAACCAAACGTCCAAATGGAATTTTAGCGTCAATAGACGTACAGAGCCTTTTCACAAACGTCCCTGTGAATGAAACAATCAACATTATCTTAGATAAAGTTTACAACAATCCGAACATTGCGCCCCTTAAACTTTCTAAAATCACTCTAGAAAAACTGCTAATCGCATGCACTACTGAATCTCCCTTCCGTGGACCCGATGGACAGCTGTACCGTCAAAAGGACGGCATAGCAATGGGCTCCCCACTAGGACCCCTTTTTGCAAACTTTTATATGGCTGAGATCGAAAGCAAGGTTCTCAGCGACGAAAGCATTCGCCCACATATATACTGCAGATATGTCGACGACATTTTTGTTGATGTTAGGGACGTAGACCACCTTAAAGATATTATAGAGAAAATGGAGACAAGCTCAGTGCTCAAGTTTACTTACGAACTTAGTGTTGAAAACAAGTTACCTTTCCTAGATATCATGGTTAACGTAAGAGGAATGAACTTTGAATCATCAGTATACAGGAAACCCACAGACTCTGGAAAATGTCTCAATGGCAAAAGTGAGTGCCCAGCGAGATACAAAACAAGCGTTATCAGAGCCTTCATCAAGAGAGCGGTCAAAAACTGTTCCTCTTGGGAACTGCTACACGTGGAATTTGAAAGGCTGAAACAAATCTTGGTCAACAATGGCTTTTCCAATAGGGAAGTAGACGAAGAAATTAAGCAGCATCTTGATAGAGAGACAAACCAAAAGATGACCCCAAAAGAGCGTTCCAGAAATAGCATTACGCTTTATTATCGTAACCACATGTCTCCCTCGTACAAAGTAGACGAAAAAGTCATCAAAGAAATTGTCTCGGAAAACATAACCTGTACAAATGCCACTGACCAACTGAAACTCATCATCTTTTACAAAAACTGCAAAACAAGCAGCCTTCTCATTCGAAACAACATGCAAGACAACAAAGACAAGCTCAAACGCACCAATGTAGTTTACGAATTTTCATGTCCATACGAAGATTGTAGGCTTCGTGAAATAAACTACATTGGCGCTACAACCACATCACTGTCAAGGCGTCTCACTATGCACCTTAGAGACGGGGCACCAAAACAACACATGACGCAAGCACACCAGACAACTATCACTAGAAAGCTTCTGACTGAAAACACGACCATCATCAAAACACAACACAACAGAACACGGCTCTGGATACTAGAGGCATTACTCATCAGACAACGCGCTCCACAGCTCAACAAACAACATAACTCTTGCGTTACACTAGGGCTGTAAAGACGTTTACATGTAGTGAGGAAGATGCACTCATGTCGTGACAGCTTGTATTCGCCTGATGTAACATTCTTTTGATCGACCTGATTTATTCGATGAATGTGAAGTGTACTTTATGTGGGACGCAACTACCGTAGCAAGACCCTGCCAAAACTCACGTGATAATTTGCATTTAACATATTTCTCAAATGATGTCCGATGAAAATGTTTACACTTGTCATACGTGAATGTGTTATGTTTGAAAATGGTTTACTGGAATAAACCGAAACGTCACTTGTAACCAAGTAACTTGACATTGATGAGCAACTTTGGAGAATTAATTTTTAACTTACCTTCTGAAACCAAGAAACTCATTCGAACAATCGAACGAACTAACCGGAAACTTGCAAAAACTCAATGCTCCTTGGTCTTCAACGAAACCTGTATAAATGAGAATATCCTGCCCAAATACACGAATATATATATATATATATATATATATATATATATATATATATATATATATATATATATATATATATATATATATATATATATATATATATATATATATATACAAGGCTGTCTCAGTCTCGCGCCGCGCAAGTTCTAGAATTCTGCCGGCTACTCGCGCTCGGTCCGTGACGTCGTGTGACGTCACAACTACGCGGCTGCGCCGTACACTGCCCGCGCGGCGGCCATACACCTTAATGTAACGTTTCTTCTGTATTTTCACTTTCACACAATACTATGTACACACACATCGGCAGCCCCGCGTCCCCGTCCTCTCGGCTCGCGGCCCGCCAGCCGACTGCCTGCCGCGCCGGCCGCGCCGGCGCGCGCCGACAACTTCCGGGCCGTGCCGCTAGGTGGCAGCAGCTGCCGGCCGCTACAAACCTCTACACCCTTCCCCCCTTGACAGGGAAAGTACCTACATCTGTACGTAACGGCAACCCGGGTGACACCACTCAACCGTTCCCCTGCGGCACACTATCACATGAATGACGAACAGATCTACGCCACGGTAAGCACTCGACAAACCAACCTCATACCCTGCTCACCCGCCCCGGCCTCAGCCTCAAGCGCAGACCTACAATCGCGCACGCCGCACACATCTACGAATAAATCATAGCGAAAATGGCAGCACGGGTGCCTGGCGCCACGCCCGGCTGAGCGTCACGATGATACGCAAACCAAGTCCGCACTCCGGTGTCCCTCGGGTCAGCGGCGAGCAATCACGATACACAACACAATACAATACAATTTGTGTTCGTCGAACACAAATTCACACCGCGCCGGGGCGAATCTCCAGCG